ATCAAAGCAAATACAAAATGCAGTTTTTAAATTATTATTTCATTTATTAAGGATAACCTTGGCAGCAATCAAGCAATTAAAAAAACTGGTAAGGAGGTTTGTTTTTCTTTGCTGTGCAGGAAGTTTGGCTCGGTATTTGCAACTTTTTTTAATTCGGCTACATGTGAGGGTTTTATGGTCATGAGCACCTTAATCAATCAAATTAAGTACAGACCCTCCCAAAAATCTCTTTACATATTTTCTGATCCAACTCTACGATAACGATTTCAAACTTAACTGAAAAGGACCTCATCCTTCCTTTTCACTGCTTCATTGTGAAAAAGCTAGAAGGAAGATGTGTTTTCAACTAGTTGGTGAAAGAAAACTGTCTTTGTGACATAACGGCACAGCAATAAGACAGAATTCGGGTTTACTGATATTTTACAAAAAGAAAAAGGCTAGAATATCTGTGCACGTACATGACTAACAAAGGCAATTGTTAGTCATGTACGTCAATCACCTGATGCGATAACATGTTCAACTTTAAGCACTTCTTTAATGTCCGTGTGCCTTTAAGGAAAGAGAAAATCAATCAAAAGCTGTAGCTCTGCCACAAGGCTCAGTAAGTAAAGGAGGAGGAGTTTGTCCAAAACAGCCTGAGGCACTTTCTTAATTTTCACAGTATATCATTGGTGTCTTCTTTGTGTTCTTCTTGTTGGGCGCTCATGCCTGTGAGCAGCCTGAGCAGATATTAAAATAAATCTCCCATTCAGTGTGCCGTAGCGGACGCCAGAGTGAAATCCTCTGGATGAATAACATAAGAAAGCCAGACAAAGGCTAATTAGAACCTGGCTATATTTCTGCGGTAATGGGAAATAAAAACTGCCTCGCGGCAATCCCTGCGAAAATCGTCTTAGTCATTACTCTGAGAAATGACCTTTGAGAAGAGATATTGGAGCAAACCTTGGGACAGTTGTTTTAGTGTGGGGCTGCAGTTCGAAAGTTAGCACTTGTACTTTCAGAAAGATATGAAATTTGATAATTAAAACATTGGGTGAAGGCCCATTTTCTTTCTAAGTGGTGCCACATGTGACAAAAGGCACTCAAAATGCAAAAGAGCTGATTTCTGCAGAGGATAATTGAAGTAAATCAGATGAGACAGGGAATCAGACGGTGATGGTGAGGCTGGGGGAAGGCTGAGGTGAGGTGGGAGGAGAGATGATTGGTGTGTGTGTGTGTGTGTGTGTGTGTGTGTGTGTGTGTGTGTGTGTGTGTGTGTGAAAAAGAGAGAGTGAGAGAGCGAGACAGAGAAAAATAACATTGCTGCTTCACAACTGAGGCGTCTGACTTGGGGAAATGAGACGCCTAATTGAGCGTGACAGAGAGGGGGGCACGTTGTGCCTTCACCACCAAAAATCATCGATGATGTCATTAAAATCCTCCAAGCTAAAACCTAATGAAAAGATAAAGGAACAGTGAAGGTATGTTTGTTTAGTGAATCCTGCGGTGGTGCAAATTCTTTTCAAAATTGATGTAAAGTTTAATTTCAGTACTTTGTCTTCATTTACTTTCTGGCTCTGTTTCCAGTCACGAATTTCAATTTGTGTTAAGCTGCTTAAACTCAACTATTAAAAAAACATAATTATAAAATATTTTCTAGCTTTTTGTGTTTGCATACAGCCTTTCTTTGGAAGTACACATTTCATCTATAATCCGCAATTTGTTTCTATTGCGTGAAATTCATTAAAGTTTAAATTGTCAGATAAATTAGTCACCTACCATTTCTGACTTTGCTCAGCATAAAAGCACCAGAGAAAAGTCTGGACACACAGTGTAGAAAAAACACTGAAGAAAGCAAAGCTGTCAGGTGTGCTGATCCAAGCTACTGCTAAGATAAGAGCAAAAGCCCTCTTAAGGCTTTTTGAAGTGCAGTCTTAAAAACAGCAAAATACTGTTATGATGAAGGCTCAGAAAAAGAGGAGCAAAGAAGGGAATCAGTGCCTGCTGAGTATAAGCTCATTGGAGTTACCAGACTTAAAAAGGTGTGGACGTCACAGAGATGCTCCCCGGAGATTAAGTAGTGCGCACCTCCCCTCATCAGTTGCTGTGTCTTTACCAGACACTGAGAAAAAGAAGACATGGTTTCTGCCTGTGACATTCCCACCATGAATCATTTAGAAGGAGCTGTTATTGTGTGGGGGCTTTGCTAGTAACGGGCAGATTTAAGCCGACACTTTAGTGGCAACCAAAAGATCCTGCAGTGACACATAGTCCACCTGGTTTGATCTTAGTGGGACCATCATTTATTCAGTGAGCCAGGCCACATCTTCAGGCTCGGTAAGGACTGTTAAAAAGGAAGCAGCAATGATGGAGTGCTGCATCAGTTAGCTTGACCTCTACACTCACCAACAGAAATGGTTGCAGACTGTAGAGTGAAAGGGAAGGAGACAAGAGCTGCTCAGCCTTGAAGGAACCCCCTCAGGTGATGGAAACTGTCCAGGTGATGACTGACAGATTGGAGAGTGTATAAAACTGATATGAATTTAAAAAAAAAAATGTTTTTCTGTATTTACACATCCTTGTTTACTACATAAATATGAGGTATATATATATTTTGTTTTAGCTATGATGTCTTAACAGCCCAACAATACAAACGGATCTATGATCCTACTTTGCTTCTGCAAAAAATGAAATAAAGAAGCTAGAGAATGACAAAAACAATGGTGAAGGTCATTCCTTACAACAGAATGATAAAATCATGATCATTCTATTATATATTATTGCTTTGCAGCTCATGTTCACTATATGGCCTCTCATCCAAATACACATACTCTTCTTCTCTTGCTCCTTCTTTTGTCTGATGGGTCCAGTCAGTGACTCCAGTTAATTTCTTTCATTGTTCTTCTTCTTTTATCTTTTTGCGTTTCCTTTTCAAACGTTTAAACTGCATTTACTCCTCACATTATTACTGCTTTCTGTTGGCTATTCCTCTGAACTTGTAGATTGTCTATAGACTGCTCATTAAAAGCTTTTTAATGACACTCACTGCTGGTAGACTAATATGATGTCAGGGTTTTGCTGAGGCTCACTCCTCCTTCATACGAGGGGGGCTGACAACCAGCCACAGTTGAAACACTTTTCAAAGTCACCTCAGAGTAAAGTAACTTGCTCACAGTCAGCAAGTGCTCTGTGCTTGTCAGCTCTTCTTTTATCTCTGATAGAAGCAGGTTGGTGCTAAAATGTAACATCTGAGAACTTTTTATTTCATTTTATTTTCTGACTGGAGAGATATCAAGGTTATATAGGGACACTGTTGATGGTGGATTACCTGAGATAGCAAACCACACAAACACACACACACACCACTAAACACAGCGGGAGTCTAATCAGATACACACCATGTAACTTGGTATTGCCTGCTTTCATCTCATAGGATGAAAGCATTCGACATCTATCCATAAAGAAACAGGGATAAAGATGAAGGGGTCAAAACAAGTGTGTGATACAAGGAAATTTTAAAGAGGACTGATAGAGAAAATCTGTAGATGATAGGATGAGGTGAAATCTGAAAGTATCTCTTGACAACCGGGAACAGAAATAGAATCACAAAAAAGCAAAGATGGCTGGAGACGGCCAAAGACAACGCAACACTGACAGAGCTACAGTTTGACAGGTGATTGTCACAGTGAGGACTATTCTCACTTACACCTGTCATGGGTAAGTCAGAGGAATATGTGTGACCTTTTTAAGACTGACAAATACACACACAATCTGGGTCTGCTAATGTTTGTTCATCCTATGTGAAATGCTATTTTAGTGCTATGCTGTATTTAAAAATCAGACCTCCACAAGTGAAGGGGCGCAGCAGTGTGAGCCTCCTCTACAGACCAATGAAGGCCCAGCAACTTTACACTCAAAATGAGCAATCATCATCCAGGACTGACTGATAAAGCTACGTTGCATCACTTTCTCTGACACAAATTGAAGGTGAGAAAAACCATCTCTAGATCACGGGACAGAAAGGATACATTTATGAGATTACTTTTAAATTCAAGTACTGACTTGATCTGAATGGTCTGCACCCACAAGTGCAAAAAGATCTACATTGTTTGTAAAATTGTACATTTTACAAAGACATAATACTGGTTGATTAAGCTGAGAAACTATACTTCTTTTTGAAAACGATATGCTCCCTTTGAATGTAAAATAAAATTGAGAGAGACATGTTTAGCAGAGACATGTGTTGCATCAACTCTTCTTTGAATAGCAAGCAGGGTTTGTGCGTCTGGGCCCTACAAGGGTTTTTCTTTTGCAGGAAGCCTCTAGCAGCTATAGAAAAATGGAGGGCATTTGCTTTATCGTTCATTTCTGCTTTCCGCTAACACGTAGGCTGGGTTTCATGTGGCATTTTGCTGGATCCAATCAGAGTATATCTTGTGAGCTAGCCCAGAGCTCCTACCTTAGGCTGCGGGACCGTGGTCTCATGGCGGGGGAGCGTCGTCCCTCCTCATCTGTGATGCTCTCAGAGCTGAAGTGTTTGGTAAGGAAGTGCAGCTCGTCAGGTGTGGGCTGGAAGGGCAGCTGGTGCAGCTTCTCCTGGGATGAACAGGAGGACTGTGAGAGGAGGAGCACAAACGGAGTATAGATTACAACCAGCACTGAAGCTACAGTGAGGAGTTAGGCCGGAGCTAAACTGGGATTAGAAGAACTCTGGGTTGAGTTTGTCTTTGGAGTAAAGTTTAGTCCCCTTCTCATTAGAGGAGAAAGGGACAGAAAAAGCAGATTACTCCAAGCTGGAAATGCCTGTAAGGTTTGAAGGGAGCTAAGCTAGGATTATACTACAGGCTAAAACTATTTTTGCTTGTATGATGTATTTTTGAAAAGTTAAAGTGCTCTAAATGGAAATTGGCGCAAGGACATTCTAGCATTATCTCTAGCTGGAACAATTTGTGGTAGTCTGTCCTTGCAGGAATTCCTGGTGTTAAGGCTCGTTTCTACACAGAAAAACAGAGTGGAAAGACTGAAGAATGAAGTGCTTGGCATAGCTGTAAATCTGTGTGTCATCAAATTATAATGTATGTAGTTTTGCAATTCCACTACTGGAAAGGTTTTCCAAACAAGTTTAAGCTGAACTTCAGTGAATGTGAGTTTCTGAAGCTGACAAGTGAAAAGTCCCCGGTTTGATTTCAGTAGGAGGCACGAATCCTTTTGGGGTTGTGACAGAAAGGGCATACAGCATAAAAAAAAACCCACCAGTTAGGGTGAAATTCACACAACAAAGGTCTTATTTGTCCGAATAAGATAAAAGGGAAGGGGGGCTTGGTTCTCTCTTAGTACAATGATTGTGTTAGTCTGGATGCTCAAGTTCACGGCTTCTCAGACAACTTAGCCAGCCTGCTGCCTTTGATGCACAGCAAGTCTCATTTTAAAGGCAGGAGCCACAGAGGAAGTGTGCAATTTTAAAAAAGGGAGATGAAAGAACAGCAGAAGGTAAAGGACAAGGAGGAGAATAAGACCAAGTGGGACATTTGACATGTCCCTAAGAGTGAGGGAAAGAAAAAGAGTAGGACGCAGAAGTACACAGTAAGGTATCAGAATGAAGGAATCAGCAGTGGAGGCTACGGCAGTTTTGCAGCTTTGTAGTAAGTGAAATAAAGTATGTGTTTCTAGTTTTCATGGATGAGCCTATAGATCACTACAACAGACATACAAATACATGCATAGACAGAGTATAGTGAATTTATTTACCGAGACAGTGGAACTGGGAGTGTTGGTGCCATATCCAGAGGAAGGCAATGAAGCGAGAGACCAGCGTCTGCCATCCGTCCTTAAAAGCAAAGAGCGAACATTAAAGAAAATGAATGAAGACATCAGCACTCAATGATCATTTTCAGTGAAATACCACATATTCTCCACAGCCAGAATAACAAGATGAAGTAGTGTCACATACAGTGGAAAAGTATTACAGTAGGTGGAAGAAAAGGTGAAGCGGAAAGATAGCATGGAACCTAATGTGTGCAAAAAGCATCCACTGAGACTTTGCACACCTAAAGAGAAGCACCACAGAGTTCACAGACTCGACAGCTCATCCTGTGTCCGAAAAGCCGGATTCTTTACTTCACAAATACCTTCTGGTTATCAAACATTAGCCAGCTTTTTGTCACTTTCAGTAAATATTCATCCTAACAAACCTGAAGTGCCTCCTTAACCCTTCTGTGTCTCAGCTCCAAATCCAATTAAACATGTCCGACTTTAAAAACATCTCGCAAGTATTTCATTTCTTTTTGTTTTACACTTTTGGCTAAAACGAGTGAAACTTCTGGAGATTTTTGAAGAAATTTATAAAAAGATCATAAAAGCACTTATTTAAATGTCTAAAAAATGATTTGTGTTTCCTCTAAAAAAACAAAACAAAACCCTGTGGTGTTCATTATGATATTTGTTTATGGGGGTCTTCATTTTTCTCGTGTCACCTTGTCTGTCTCGGGACTGTCCCTCATTCAATTTAGTTCCACTTTTATTTTGAAGGTTAGTTCCTCTTGTGCAGATCTCTCTCTCTGGTGTGTGTGTGTGGTGTGTGTCTGTGTGTGTGTGTTGTGTGTGTGTGTTGTGTGTGTGTGTTTGTGTGTGTGTGTGTGTGTGTGTTCCAGATGTGAGTCCAGCGGACAAAGGGCAGGAAGAGCAGGCGGAAAAGTCAGAGGTCAGAATGGAGACATTACCTGTCAGCCCTGTGTCCATGGCTGTGAAGAAGACAAGACAATGGTTTTCTTTTTATTTATTTATTTATTTTTATTGCTGTCACACAGACTGAAAAATAGATGCAAATTGCCTCAGTTGGTTTTCCAAACAAAACATATCTGATAAAGAAAAACGTGTAACTGCTGATACTTTGTTGGCAGTGCAGAGTGGCACACTTTTTGTTGCAAGCCATATGTATTTTTTATTTTATGACAACAAGCACAATTATTTTCATGCAAAGCCAAATGAAAAATACATTTAAATGAAAGTGTTTCTGATAAAATAAGGCTTTTATGCGAGTACGAACAGTAGGCCCGTCATATCAGACTCCACCACACGGTGTCCCTCTCACCCCACAGTGTGCTGAGCAGCGGCAGCTCTGAGGTCAGCGGCTGGACAGAGAGGGATTTCCAATTCAAATCAGCACTAATGCTCCTTTTCGCTGCTGCACCTCACAAACACACACAGTGTCTCGGTGTTTGATGACGTTGTCGTGCAAACAGCCTGCCTGTTCGGCTCAGTCCTCGAATGGAGAGTCTCAGTTCAATCAAATAGATTCCAACCCCCCCACCACAGCTAGGGATCACAGTGTCTCACAATAGTTCCCGGAAGTTAGCAACATACGCTAGCCACGGCACAGATATGGGAGCACAGATAAGATATGTAAAATAGTATTTACACATTTGCCTCCTCATCAGCTCACACACTCATTTACATCAGCAGCTGCTCAGCTCTTATAGGTCACTGAGTTGTTTAACACTGTTTCAAAGATACGGACATTAAAACATGAAGTATACCTTATCTATTTGGGCTCAACATCTGCAATCTATTACTTTATTTCTATTTTTTTCCTGATGTACTGTATAACTTAAAACTGAAAAGAACTGGTAAGAGCTAATGATCACTAATACAATCAGTTTGTTTATTGAGGACAACAACGCTTCTGTGTTTTTTACATGTGTGACTGCAAACACAAACATCCTTAGCACATAAATGGAAGTCTTACCTGCGAGCAGGAACAAAGGAGAAGTGTGCAGCTGTGTTGGGAGAGAAGTTGCGAGGACTGTCCAGTGGGCTGGTCCCTGAAAGACAGAGAGAAGTAAAGTAATAAGCAGGAATGACAGTAAGACAGACAGAAAACAGAAACCCTACACCTGTGTTCACGTGATGAGTTCTTTCTTTAACACAGTGAACACTTTTGTGGCAGCTAATTCAGGGAGAATCACGGGGAATGAAAATCATATCCGATTACGTTACTTCATGGCTGATGAGAAGTTAATTAACTGATTGGGATGCGTTTTGTTAACGTGTGCCATTTTCATAATAAAAGACAATGTGTGAAGTCTTAATCCAGTGAATTTGCTCAGTGAAAAGAGATTTAAGAAAATTACACCACAGACTATGCAAATAGGTAAGAAAAATGTTTTTGTTTTTTTTTTCATCTCTGGACTTGTCATCTCATGTCTCAGCAACTTGGTGCTACTATTGTTTGTATCAGGGATCAGCGCATCATGCTGATGCCAGTGAGCATGCCAACCAACCATGATCACGGAAAAGAAGATGCAAAGATGCAGAAGAGGAAAATGGGATGTCTGCAAACGCACAACTGGCAACTGAGACTGATGATAAAGATGTGAGATGTCTTTTTAAGTGAAGTTCAAGGAAATAAAAATCCGAGACAAAATAATAACGAAAGAGGCAGAGGGACTTTGTTCTTTTATTACCAAGTATTACTACTCTGATCAAAGCCCAAGTAACGGCTCCCAGTAATGATATCATTATATCAATAATAAAACATAGCAAAGATATGTGCTTACTCAAGACAGTAATCTCAAATACAAAATAATATCTGTGCATCAGAAAAAAGAAAACTTTGTCTTTACCAAAAGCTGGTTAACTTCCTTTTACTTTACCCTCTTAGCTCATTACCTACTGACTAGTAAGATGCATTAGAGGTAAATCCAGTACCTGTGTCAGAGATTTGTTCTATCCCAGGACTAATATTTTTCACCTTATAGATACTTTGCTTGAGCAGTATTACTACAAAACACTGCAAACATTTGCATCCCAACCCAAACCAAATACTCGGACTATAATATACTATTATATTTTTATAAATGTCTTCTTCTGTACAGGGTCTAACCAGAAACCTACTCTCGATGACATCAAGTTATTTTTGACCAGAAGATTTCCTTTGACGCAAACATTAAATAAATATGCCTTCTTTCATCTGTGCAGTATTGTTCATACTGGGGTTCTTAAAACTTTACAGAATGAATTATTTGTGCTGCAAGACATCTTCCTGCTGCATTTACCAACCTGAAAATATGAATGGGAAGATAAAAAGGCCCTCACTGTGAAAGCAGAGCATGTGTTAAGTGTTCTGCTCATTCATTTGTTTTCCTTTATTCTCCATCACTTTAAATTTCTGACCTTGAACAAGACAAGAGCAAAATGAGAATCCGAATGTAAGATGTATGAAGAGAAGAAGCGTGGGCGATATGCAGAAAATAAATAGGAAAAATAAATAAATAAATAAACAGGGGAAGTGGCTGTAATAGAAGACAGAGAGGAATGAAGATGGGCTCTATCACAACCTGATTGAGTGTCTCATTAAGTGAACGAGCACACAGGGGAAAGTAAAAGGTAAAGAGCTTAAAGGAATGACTCGTCTGTCTTCTTGAATCACACAGAAAGGTGGAGTTAAAAATTTAGATTAAGATAAAGTAGGTGAACCACCTGCTTTTTACATTTACTATTACACTGCTGAAAATATACAAAGATAAATGAATGCAGTTCAGTTAACTCCTTTTATATCACTTAGACTGATAACACATCATATAATGATTGTGGCAATCAGTGAGTTAGTTACTTTTAACTGGATAAAGGGGAAGAAAAAAAACAGCTTCCCCAAACAAAATCACGTGTAAGTAGCTAAACAATAACTTAGTTTGAGAAACTGGGGACACAAACACTCAATTTCTGCTTCAACTTCAACACAGAAGGGAAACATTTCTCTTCACTGAACACCAAATATCTCCAGAACAGCTTGAATTGACTGTGAAGCTCATAATGCAGCCATTGCCACAGAAGCCACAGATGATCCTCTGTTTAATAAAGCTGACATTTTTTAATTAAATATGCTGACATATCCGAGCAAAAGCAGTGGAATGGATATTCACGGTCAGTATCTGCAGGGAGAAACAGCACTCTGATAATAATTCAGCAGAATGAGGCTGAAGGAAGAAAGGGTGAACACAGATGAATAGCAGAGGAACGGCTGGCTGCCTCAAAAACAGGAGGAGAGATTAAGTAGTCGGACATTTCCACATCAATTATGCAGTTTTCTCCGCAGCATGTCTGGACAGAGCAGAAACTCAAATATTAATGCGAGCATTTGATTGCCGTCAGATGGGAACCTCTGTCTGTCTAGTTGGCTGTGCAGAACATGTATGCACATATTGGAGTGAACAGGTAGGTTATTAGTCAGACAGATTGCTTGTTAGTGTACATCTTACTTGTGTCAAATGTCTTATACATGATGTAGTATGGCTGCAAGGATGCTGCTGAAGTTGCATTTAAAAGGACATGGAGTTGTCCCTGGAGCTGTTAGCAGGCTCACCCACTGCACCGATCCTCCCTGTTCATATTTTATACTATACTTAGAACTGTGTGTGCATATGTGCGTGGACATTATTTAAGATCCATCTCTCTCAGCAAAGAGAAATCAGACACATCAGCAATGGGTCAACTGGTGTGTTTGTGTTTAGAAAGGATGGTTAGGTCTCATCAGACGTTTTTGCACGAGAATGTGTTTGTGCTCATAGGTTGATGACAAGAGTACCAGATGCACGCACAGGACACGCAGTCACGCAGTGTTTCACCACAAAAGAAAGTCACTTTAATCCTTTTTTTAAATCACCAAAGACCGAACAGATTGTCATGAAACATAAAAACTAGACATTCCTTCGCTATTTGCTCTCCCAGCCTGTGGTATCCTCTTTTATGGGGAAGACACTCACAGCACCTGCAGGTTTTTGCCAAATAATATATTGATATGTATTTAATACTCGTGTGTATTAACACCTTCACAATTATAAGTCCATGAGCTAATGGACTTACTGACATATAGGGCTGCCACGATTAGTCGACTAGTCACGATTACGTCGACTATCAAAATCGTCGACGACTGATTTAATAGTCGACGCGTCGTTTGAAGCTTTGTAAGATCACAAAAGACGCAGGAATAAGTAGTAGGATTTAAGAGTGTAATAACGGACTGAAACAGAAGATGGCAGCACTGCATGTACAAGGATGCCAGCTGCCGTTAAACCCCGAAGAAGAAGAAGCTGTGTCCCAGAATTCATAGCGCAGCCCAGCTCAGTTTCCAACAATGGCGGCAGCTAGTTAGTTTTAATATTACTCTTATTATTCTTTCTGGGTCACAAAATAAACGTTTAACATATTTTCAGGCGAGAATGTAGCTGTGTAAACCTCAAATATCTGCTCAGTTTATCAGGACACCGCATATTTTCAAAAGCGCTCCGACGTTTTCGGAGACGTCTGTTACCCACTAGCTCGATAGCTAGCCGGGGGCTAGGTCACTAGCCCGTGAGAACACCGGACTCCCGGCAAATCGTTTTCAAACCCACCGCCGTCTTTCGCTACTCAGGTTAAACATATATAAGTCACTTAGATAACTTAAAAATGTTATTGTTTGGCTTTTTTTTAGTATTTTATTTGTTCCTGAGTAAATCGGTTTGGCTGAGATTAAAGTTATAGTTTTTACACAGCTGAATAAACGTCAAGCAGACAGCTGATTATCAGAAGTGTGAGATGCTCGAGAATATACTCCGGTGTCCTGTTATATTTTAGATAGCAAGGAGTTTATTAAACTTCACCGAAACAATCTGCAAATTTCATTAAAATTGAATAAACTATCATCTTGTCTTTATTTTTAGTTAGCACACACCTTAAACACTTAAAGCTGTCAGCTAATGATCGTTATATAAGAGCAGATGCTGTTGGTGCAATAAGATGTACGTTTTACTCCAATGGATGATGATCTGATTAGTTGACTAATCGCAAAAATAATCGGTGACTAGTCGACTATCAAAATAATCGTTTGTGGCAGCCCTACTGACATATAATGTATGTTCAACACAACATGCAAATCATGAGTGCTGAGTCGATGGCTCGCAAGTATTTTGGACTGAACTCTCCACGTTTTTTGACAGAGATTAGAGCCGACTTGAAAACTCAAACAGACCTGATCTAAGATCACGTCTATGCTTTGTGGATCTCCCATGTGTGTCTTTATATGTACTGCAGTAAAGTGAAATAGCAGCAATGTGTCCATCTATTGATCGTGCAGTCTCAACTGACACCACAGTCAGTTATAATTATGCCACAATCAAATAGTTTCCAAAGAAAAATCACTATGGAATCTATGAAAAAACACTGTGGCATGAATTTTGCACCTGAATAAGAAAAAGTGAAGTGAAATGTAAATTATAACTGAGTGCATGTAGTAAGAAGTCTCATCACACCATATATAGAAGCTACTTTGCTGTCACATTTTTAGGTTTCCTGCAGTAAACTGCAGTGACAGTGACCTACTTTAGCAAAAACCAAGACATATGCTTTCATATCAGATACATGCAAATGTGATATCTACTCTGTGGCTCTTCATTTTCACTTGCCTGCTCCCTCTCCGGTGAAGACGAGGTGGGGAAATCAAAATAATTGGGGAAGGGGTAAAAAGAAATGTGCAATACATGCATATGTATGTATAAATATATTTAGCCTTGAGTCTGTGACATGAAACTGAACAAAAGAAAAGCCATCTTTCTTGCAGTCCTTCATTACAATTGCAAAAATGAGCAGTGGTTTGACAGTATTCATCTCGACTCAGAGCGTATAGCTGCCAATCACAAGCTGACCTTTACCAAATAACAGCTTTCTGTCAGCCAGGAGAGCGGAAACTACGGGCTGGTGAAGTGAAACAAATAGAAAAGATGGAGATATTCTGTGTGAGTAAATGGGGGAGAAGAGAAGAGAAAATGAAGCTTGATGTTAAAACATTACAAAAATATCAAGAGAGGAGAAAAAGAGATCATGAGAGAGGCAACAAGGGATTCATGCAGACCTCCAACATTTAATAAGTCTTTTTTTTTTTGGAGAGGATTGGTGCTCATCAGACCCTCAGGATATTAGACTGAAGAATTTCCATCTGATTAGCAGCAAATGGCTTGGTGATTGAAACTATGATGAAATTCAGGATTATGGCAAGAGCGAGAGACTGAGAAGGAGGAAAAGGGAATGAAAGGACAAGGCTTAACCTCCAGTGGTTCATATTAATCAGTTCGTGTCTACAATGAGATATCACAGCCTGGATTAGACAGTTACAGTGGAAGTGTGGAGCTGTGTTCAGACGTGATATGAAACCAAAATTTACATTATTCAAGTAAACAGATTCAAACTAAACAAAGTGTAACAGGACAGAAAATGAAAAACAGCATCTTTAATTAGTGCTGTTTAATTAGAGGTATTTAATTCCTGCGCAGGGTCTAGCACACATAGACAGCACTGCAGGACTAGTGGCACAGTTACCATGGCAATGCAGCAGCTGGAAGATGTAAATGGAGAGGAGGAAGGGAAGATAGAAGAATGGAGCAAAAGAAGTGTACAGTATTAGTAACAGCAAACCACACTGTGAATACAAACAGGCAACCACAGATCACTTCTACGCACTGCAGATGCCCCGTAGGACATCTATCCAGTCAGATATGAAACTATGAAAAGAAAATCATCATGTCAAATAAGTAATGTATGATGGTGAATTACTCCACATCGAAAGGAGCCAGCTGAGGTGGTTCGGGCATCTGACAAGGATGCCCCCTGGGCGCCTCCTGGGTGAGGTGTTCCAGGCATGTCCCACCGGGAGGAGGCCCCGGGGCAGACCCAGGACACGCTGGAGAGATTATATCTCTCGGCTGGCCTGGGAACGCCTTGGTGTTCCCCCGGATAAGCTGGAGGAGGTGGCTGGGGAGAGGGAGGTCTGGGCCTCTTTGCTTAGGCTGCTGCCCCCGCGACCCGGCCTCGGATAAAGCGGATGAAGATGGATGGATGGATGGATGATGGTGAATTTTTTTATCCTCTCAGTGAGCTGCCAAAAACAGTTTAAAACCCCCTCTCAAAAACAAAAACAACATGTCTTTTATTTCCAACCCTTTCCATTGTCTTTTGCTAACTTCAGCCATCACAGTATTGTTCCTGTGTCATTTCACAGCATAATGAAATACAGGAAAATCTGATTAACAGATCAGTGCTTCAGCATACAAGTAGAATCTGTGCACCTTTTAGTCAGAACAGAAACCATACACTAACCACAGGACTACAACCTATAGATATTCAGCTGATATTCAGGGAAGACAGCAATTTACTTTATGGTGAACAGCGGTTCTTGTATAAATGATCATTCACTGACACCAAGGTCGCCAGTCACACAATAGACTGGTGCCAAAATAAAACAGTGCTTGTGCTATGCTGTGGGGAGTGGAGGATGACAAAGCTCCCATCAGTAGCAAAGGCTCGCTGATTGCTTGGCTCTAAGCCTGTGTTTCATAGTTCATGAGTAGTTTATGAAATCAGTATCAGGATATCAATATTTAAATATATATTTTGGTGGCTTCAGAAAATGGTTTGAGATCAGTGTCTGAGAAAGAATGTTACAAGAGTAAAAATAAACTTTACATTTACAAAGTGGCTTTTAAACTTCATTTGACTGACTGACCAAACAGTACTTGTTTAAACAGTATAAACCAGCACTGTGCAGTAAAAAGTCTTTAACTGAGCTGGATTTAGCATGTTTGTAAAATTTATTTGCACTAAATTTTAAAACGCTATTAAAATTTAAATTGTTGCTGGTTTTGTTGCTGTTTGTTATTTAACTTTTTGGAATTTAAGTTTATTTTACAGTGTTAAGAAAACTTTTTCCCATATTGTCCGAAATATTGTTATTGCCAATATAATTTTGAGGCGATGTCACCCACCCAAACAAACACTACTACCACTATCGGGTGAAGGTAAACACAACATGGTAATGAGTGTTTCTCTGTGTCACGCAGCCTCTCCTTAATATTCTCTCCTCAATATTTTACCATCTTTCCATCTTTCATATTCATTGAGCTCTCGCTCTCTCTCCTCCCATTCAGTTACTGCCACCAATAATCCTTTTCCATTCTGCTGTTTCAGTCTATATTTTGATTCCTTCGCTCAGTCCCCTTCAGGCACCATCAATCATAGTTTTTCTTTTTTCCATCTCTTTTCCATCTATACATTCGAAGGGTGGAGGAGAAGATGGGTGGGTGTGTGGGTTGGTGGGTTTGTCTTCCTGTCAGATGTGTTCAGAAGACATTTTGTTAGCACACATTTCATCGAATCATTTGGTGTGTGTGCATACAGCTTCTAATATCAGCACACACACTTTTTCATAGCGAACGTACGTATGATGGCATGGTGGGTGGAATCCTTTTGAAGTGACTCTTGCCTGCTTCTTCTCAGGAGTATTTCAAGAGTATTTGATAAGGGTGAAATATTTTTCTTTCTATAAATGTGTCAGTTTGTCAAAGATCAAGGCAAAATCTCATCTTGATGTATTTCCTGCTGCAAGATCAGCTTAAAGTTATAGACACTGACCTTACACAGGGAGACAAGAAAATGCAATACCAATTTGCCAAATTTGACGAAGTGGAAGCAGCTTCCCAATGATTTTATGTGCTCTAGCACATTACAAAAGGCTAAAGCACATAAAATCATTGGGAAGCTGCTTCCACTTCATCAAATTTGGCAAATCTAAGTCACCCAGCAAATCAGTGGTTATGCAAAATTATTGTCAAGGTGCTTGACTTCTTTTTATCTGATGAGATTAAGCAATCAAAATTCTGTCAAGAAACTACTGCTAATTGTGCCAGAGTGCCCTCAGATTATACAGTCCAGAAAATTTATACACTATCCAAAAAAACAAAACAAAATTCACCCATATTGGGGACTCCCCTGTTGTCCAAAAACAGTTGGGACATGGATTCAAGATCTTTAGGGAGTTGTTGGATGGGTTTGGGGAACTGGATGCTGACACGTTATTCTCTGTGTTATGTGGATTTCAGAGCGAGTGGATCTCACAGAGGCTCAGTCAGATTATGAAGTAAGGTGTCTGGAGACTGAGCCACTTCAGACTCTTTTCTTTGTAACCTGAAAATAGCAAAGAACAGCAAAGGTGTGGTGCGACGTACTATCCTTCTGTTATCAGCAACTGCTCTTCCTATGAGATTTGTGCCTCGTCTTCAGCAGTGTGTTCGTGGGAGTAACAGTAAGTGACCTTCGCATGAATGCCTTTGACCCGAGGTTTCCCAGAAGAACATTGTATTGTCACAAAATAATCACCTGCATGCTCAGCATATATGCATATGTTTCAGTGATTTTAAAAGCTATACAAATATTGCAGGAATGCATATGAATTCAAGCCAATCAGCAAAGACAACCATCAGTCTGTCTTCTGTCTTGCATTACTGTAACGATATCTTGATGATGTCAGTTTTAAAAGTGTGAAAATCTAAGTAATGCATTGGTAACAATCTATACAATAATTAAGATGAAGTAAATATTTCATCTTAATTATAGTAACACGGTGTTAAATTACAAATAATAATATTTACTAATCAATAATAATGGCAACATTTATTTAAGGAGTAGGTTTGTTTAACAAAAAATACTTATTTTCTAAATATGTTTCATATTATACAGATAAGAGAAAATTACTTTAAAATCGGAGAACATTTTGCTAATATTATTTGCTTATTATTTACAAAGATTACATTTTAAAATAAAACTTTCTTTACTTACCCAGGCATTTAAATGCTTTTGTTAAAACCCTGAAGCAATTTTACAATAAAGAAAATAAACACTGAAGTATTTTTTTTATTTCAGATTTCAAACTAATTAGTAACCAATGGATGAACATTAAAAGTACTAAATATTCAACAGCAACAAACTATTAGCTAAAGCATCATTATAAAAAACAATGGTTATTAATAAGTGTTAAAAATAAAAGTCTGTCTGCGGCAGCTGAGCGTATGTCAGCCTGTGCATTCATTCACACAAACAAACATCTCACTGTGCGATCTCAGTGTGCTACCGGAGCTGTTAATTGAGCTTTGTTGGTGTGTGATTGTAAACAACACGACTCCATGTAATGCAACTTGTCTGCTGTTACTACACACTTTTAGCAGAACAACAACATTTGAGCAGAGTCAAAGTTTCCAATAAAACAACACCTAAATTATCACCTTTTCATCATAATTTATTCAGCAACTCTTGCTATGCTACCAGTGAGAGTGGATTTGGACTACTGAAACTGGTACTATGGATACTGATGATATTACAGCATTGAGTATATCAGGTCTATAGTTTGAAACATCAAAGGCAGTTTATATAAAGGAGTGTGTGTTACCTGTGTGTCCATGCAGAGGTGAGTGTGGTCGTGGCAAGGTGGGCGAAGTGCTGGACGTGACAATCAGGCTCTTCCTGTTGCTTGCCCGACAACTGAGAACAAAAACAAAGGCAATTTAGTGACTTCAGCTTAATCTAAGTTCCAATTTGAAACAAATAAAGTCAGGGTAATTAACTCTTTACATAAGTACAAGGATTTCATAGAACCTTCAATGAAGGACACATTCCTGGCATGGAATTTGCTTCTATAAATGTTCCTTGGGATTTCATAGCCACAATCACCAGTCACAGACATTATGAAAGCACATCATAACCTCACACACTCTTATGAATGCTAAGTTAGTCATTTGTTCTTGTTTACTCTTATAGACTCTTATAGAGTGAGGTGCACTCAGCTGAATTACATCTTATGCAGAAGATGTAGTTTTAACAAAATAAGAGACTGAAAGGTTTGGGCTGGGAAAAACAGATAGGCATCGTTAGATGGTACTCTGTAGGAGACCTCAGCTCCCCTTTGGGCTAAGATGCTCATACGGATGTGTACATACTGCTGTACCAAAGACACTTGTCGAGGAAAGAGCAATCTGCTTTAAAGCTGTGACATCTGTCCCTAGACAGAAGGAGAAGAGGAGGAAATGAGGGGGCAGTCTTCACAGCTAACACCTCCAACATAAGCTCACAAGATTATTCGACTTTGTTGTTTACTCTGAAGCTCCGAGCCAAGTGTGCCTGTAATGACTTAGGAAGGGCTAGCTTCACTCAGGGGAAATTACAGATGGAAGAGGATGCTGTGATGTGGCATCCAGGTACGCTGATATGATATCTTTCTAAAGTGACACATTTGCTCAGCAGCCACCTCTCACATTCAGACAACACTGGCTGAGAACAATGCACGTGAAGGCAGATGCCCATGTTGTTTTTAATGAAAACGCAAACATAGTGACTATATTTTAAAAATGAGCATTACACCTGTTCTGTCATGCTTTAAGAGTGACAGAGAACCAAAAGCTCTATGTTCACAAAAGATGCTGCACAACGATTGCTAAACAGTATAAAAGCTAGCAAAGCACAGGAAGCTAAACTCAGGCTATAGTGATAGGCGCCCAATGTTATGAAAACAGGTGAGTGAACAAGGCGGAGGACAAGACCGACTGAGGGAATTAACTGGGAAGAGGGAAGAAAATGGGAAACACGTGAAAACCGCCACATGTGAGAACAACTAGACAAACATTAAGTAAAAACCAGAAGAAAAAAACCCGAGAGAATTCACAGCCAAACCAAAATGGAGACGAGAGACCTGGACTACAAAGCAGGATGTTTTTTATCCAGGTAACGTCATGTTCAATCCCATTTTATCTACAATGAAGGTGGCTCACTTCGTGCTGGAGTATATTGTTTTGGTAGTTTTTGCTGCAAACCTAACCTGCTCAGGTTATTTTTCAGGTTAGGGAGCAATTGGTGCAAAATCAACACCTACTGACCAATTAACTTTATGGAAAACAGCAGTCACTATTACTGGAAGACCTCGTGCGTGGATGGTAGGAGTGTAATTCAGAATGTAATTCAACACTGTAATGTCTTTGCATTTCCCTGATGAACATCAGTAAAAAGTAGAGATTCTATGACTCAGTTCTATTCCTTGATTTTTATTTGTGTTGCCTGAAAATCTACAAAATGTTTATTTTTTTGAGCCTTGATATACCCTTCTGAGAACCAGCCTATTCATTTCTGTCCTGTGTAATGGACATTTGTTTTTCGTCAATATCTTTTGACTTATTTGAGCTACCCTACTAAGTCCTGATGTGCTTAATAGAGGACATCCTGGGCTTTCCATTGATATCTCCTGAGTCTGGGTATTCTGTTTTAGTGCCAAAGAGGACGGAAATTGAAGAAATGTTCAATGGGAAGACTTTTTTTCCCTCGGTTCTCAGAAAATCTGGTCCTCAAATTGTACACCTATACTGCGCTTAGAGATCTTCATTTTAAATTTGCACGTAGACTAAGTATAACTTTGAATTCTGATGATCTACTCTGACCACTAAGTACTACCAGGGCTGCAGCTGAAAGAGCAAAAAACAAAATGATTTTCTATTTTAAATATAAACTTAATGAAATGCTTGATTATAAGCCATCAGATTCTCTCGTGTCTCAATTTGGTGACGTAGTTGTAGTCAGATGTCCCACACCTTCCATGTGAACGTGCAGAGAAACCCAGAGTTAACTTAGCGAGTTGATAAGCAGCTTTGTATGACTGCTTATCTTGATTTCCAATGTTCAGTGAATCCAGATAACAGAAAGATAGCTGGGGTATGTTGAACTCTGCTCACACTAAACCTGATAACAGACGCAGAAGGACAGGCACCAACAGAAAGAGGAACAGACGAGGCAACACTGAGGAAACTAAAACAACTAAACATGAAGACATGAACCAAAACTAAAATGAAAAATGAAAATTAAAAAATGATAAAACGCTGTAATATCGCAAATACTTAAAGACACATAATGAAATCTAAAGCAAAACTCAACAAGCGTCAGTTGCAGACACTGACAGTGTAGTTATACTTGTTCTACTTCTTCTACAAGGACTGGGATGCATGTGCAGTTGGCCCGTCGTAATGTAGTTTCTCAATGGCCAAGTCCAAAAAGCAGACTAACAACAAAAACAAAAAGGTATCCTTGAGCCCGCTTTCTGATGATTGGGACCCGAGTGGAGCCTAGCCGAGTTGTGAACATGGAAAGCATCACAAAGGCTGTAAAGGATCTCCATACTGCAGGATAACTAATTACCTGGAGCTATTTTAATCCCACACACAAGACCAACAAAATTATGATTTATGTCATTTACTACTATTCTCTCCCTATGCAGCTGACGCAGGTTTATATCAATCGATACAGCAGCCTGTTGAACTGCATCTCTCTGAATGGAACCTATTTCAAAACTATGCGTGTGTCAGATTATGCCGACACTGTCTTTTACTTTTCTTTTTTGTTTTGTAACTTTAGCAGTGGATAAAAACAGTGGTTCGTTAGTAAAATGTTAAAAACTATCAAAGTTATTTCGTAAACTTTAAGGTTCTTGATCATGACAGAGCTCGTATATTGAAACATTATTATTGATTATTGACTCATTGACAGCATCAAAGCTAAAAGCAGATTTTTTAAAAAATCAAAAGTTTTAACTATAAATTTACCCTTTATAGTTAAAACAGAATGGTTGGCATTTGTTCATCTTTGATTGAGTACAAATCAAGCAGTCCTGTATTATGTCTGTACAGAAGACAAATGCTAAGTACTTCCTTTCAGTCCTGCTGTGTGTATATTATTCTAAATTGTAGAAAAATGTCTTTAGAGAACAAATGGACAGACAAATTGGGACTCTCCTGGCAAATTGTCTCGATGCCAGCAGGTGTCGGCACAGTAACAGCATGTGTGTGCTGTGTTAATTGTCCCATCACATCTGCTGGCTGTAATTATGCAGTTGTGTAGTGCAGTGTTTTTGACAGGCTAAACACGCCTGAATGATCACACAACAAACATTTTTCCACAAAGAAAAAAATAGTTTGAAATCTCTCTTAAGTATGTTTTTAAATTTTCTTGTCAGATATGCTCTTAATCTTTGTTCTATGATTTCTACGCCTAAAGTTTAGGAACTTTAGTAAATCTTACCCTAGTCCTTTAGTCTAGCTTCAGAGTTAATATATTAGAATTTATATTTAGGTAAAGGTTATGTAAAGGGAACAAAAAGCGCATCTGGGATTTTAAAAAATATATTTCATAATGGCAAAAAATACTATGTGTAATGTAGATACGATATTCTGTATGCAAATGCATGTATCTTCTACCATCTGCTGAAATGTGCCACTTCAGCAGTTTGTGGCAGCATGTAGTCGACACACAAACATAAATGACAGATGTACTGCCAAATTAAAGATTCAGTGATGTGTGTTCATGGAATATCTTCATCTTACGAAGACACACATATACACCATTGATTTTTTGAAAGTTTTCCCCTAAAGCCTGAAATTTAAACGTCGAAAACACAAGCGCCTACACAAAAAAGTGGCCTAAGGCAGGTGATCATTAGGAAATAGTAGAAGAGATGTACAGAAAGGGTCAGCTGGAAAGAGAGAGAGATGAACTGATGACCAAAATTCAGAGTCTGCAACAATGACTACAACTTCAAGTATTAAAGTAATGGATTGAATGAACAACAGGGCAGCTAATTAAACAGTTGCATGGCCTTAAGGTGCTATTAGAAGAAAGGTCATGGGGTTTGTCATCAAAAAATGTTAAGCTGACGTCTTGATGCTGCAAATGAGAACAGATGATTGAGGCTCCAAAATGTATAGGCTCCATCCTCTGGGGAGAAGGGGTGTGGTCAAGAAAGTCAAAGAAATCTGATCATTGGATTCATTTTCAATTTAAAATTCAAATTATAACCAAAAGTCACATTTCTTGATGCATGCTCAATCATCCAGGTAAGTAAATCTCCAAAAGTTGATTCTGTTCATCTGGACGTAGAAACACTGAAAACGCTACGCTACGTCCAGAATCAACTTCTGGAGACAAAAGATGTATTAGAATTTTTCTGGATCTGTAAATGCCATCCAAGCCTTCAAAGAAATCAGGAATGGTTGCTGAGGTAATTTGTAAAGTTTTAAAATGGAAATCTTGAGGTAAATGTGGAAAAGGTGATGTTGGTTTGACAAATGTCTGCCAGAAAGCAGAAGATTCAGAGTAACAACAAGGGATGAGAAGCGAAGAGAAGAAGATTAAGAGAAGCAAAGGAACAAATGAACCGCCTTCGCCAGGAGACGACAGAAGGGTGACAATTATGGCTTGCGGCTCTGAGAGTCCCGCTACAACAAAAAAACTGTTCGGCATGTAAAGGTTTCTTTACAGCAACCGTCACTCAGTCTGCTGCTGTGAACAAAGTTAATGAACAAATCATAGTGACTGTCTCAACAATATGGAATACCATCCGAGTCACGCATCAGAAACGCTTGGGGAAAAGAAGTGAGCAGGTGCCTTCCAGTGGAGCTTAATTTACTGAGGCAGAGGAGTTTCCATTAATGAAAAAACAATGTCAGCTT